TTTTTTTTTTTTTACTAATTAATACAACTTTGTTATACGTGTGAAAGAATTTCAATAGAATTTAACAACTGATCTTTTAAATAATTAAAGATTAAAATTGATATTACTAACTTTTCTTCCTTTCCCTCGTCTCTTTCATATAATTTTTCGCCCATAAAAAAAATTCCTAAAAACAAGGGCTGGAATGATTCACTCATTCTCACTTTCCTTCCTTCTAACCAAATAACGAAACGTATCATATCTCTTTTATCCCTTTCCTCCCTTTTTGTCCACTTTTGGAAGGATGGCAAAACTACTGTGGAGGGTTTAGGGAAACTCTACAAATCCTTTTAATTATTTCCTTTCACTTCTTTCCAAATTTTATACCAAAGGCGAGATAAACTTTTTTCTACATTTTCTTTCTTTTCTTCTCCTTCCGTTTTCCTTCAATCAAATTGGGTCCTAAGAATGGGTTGTTTTAGTCAGCGGATTGATGTGGACTCTGCCAATTAAGGTCTGAAAGAGAGAGGAACAAAATTCAAGCAGACTGTTAGGTGCAGACATTCACATTTTGTCCAAACACTGCCGCCATGATCTCTATCACTTATGGACTGTTGCATAAAGTTGTGGTTGAAAAAGTTACCAGGATGCTGGGAATCAATGACTATTATATATATTATATTATACTATATTATCTTATACAGGTAAGTGTATGAACTGTTGCATAAATTTGTAGTTAAGAAACTGACGAGAAGAGGGACTCAATGACTATTATATATATATATATATATATATATATATATATAGATAGAATTATTGTAGTCATCACACACACATATATATATAGTTTATGTATAATCAACACTTTTGCTTCATGTATTCAAGAAGACTAATAGGTGGCACCATTGACATGTTTGTCCAAACCATGCTGCCATAATCTCTATAATACGCGGACCAAAATTTTGAAAAAAATGAATGGTAGGTTCCAAAATAAAAAATAAAATAAAATAAAAAATTATTTTATTTTGGCCCCTCCAAAGTATAAAGAAACCTCAATTTTGATTATTTTTACCTAATTTTTGGAAGCATTCATTTGAGAAAAAAAGTCAAAAAAAAAAATACAATAACATAAATATAATTAGTATTTATATATATTTTTAAGAGATTATGAAGAAATTTTAATTTGTAAATAATTTTGTATATCGTCTTTCATCATGAAGTTTTATATATATTATATTTATTTCATATTTATTTTTCATTATATAACTTCAATTTTTATTTTCACATTATTATTTCCTAGGAATTAATACTGCATTTGGTTAATGAATTAGTTACAAGGAAGAGAGAATCAATGAGTTTTATATACACACACGTGTATATACATTGCCATTATAGTTTATGTATTAATTAACACCATTGCTTCATATATGTTTTATAAAGTTCGTACTTTTCAAGTTTTCATATATGAGTAGTGATAGCATGAGACCATTCCTTGGATGAATTCTGGTGAAGTTCAAATGAGTTTCACTTAGAACTTATTCCATGGATAGTTTTGTTTTAGTTCCTCTTTGATGTTCTTATTAAACTAAGTATATATATAAGTATATATATATATATATATATATATATATATATATTCTTTGAAGTGAATATTATTTTCCTTTGAATATATATTTTGACAGACTACCGATCATGTGTGTGCGCTAATTAATGTCACGGATCTCTCTCTCTACACTACAAACACGTGTGCGACCCCATATGCAGACATGGGTGTGAGCATTCATATATAGACTGACAATCTATTTTCATGTATCATAACTAATAGCTAGAATGCTTTGCGCTATGTATGAGGCTTTTATTTATTTATTTTCTCTCTTTTCAATTTTTGGGCACGAATTTTGTTGAATTTTTAACTTTTGTGTTAAAAATTAAGAAATTAATTTTGAAGGTCATTCGATCACACTTGGAAGAGATTGTAAATTTTGAATCACACATGATTCAAAACATGACTGCATGCATATCAAGCTGAATTTTATTTGGTTGTAACAATGTGATTGATGACCATAGGCCTCCATAGAAATACACACACACACACAGAGAATATCTATTGTAAGAATTGATTACGTCAGCAATGAGATGCATGGTGGCAGTTTTCTTTTCTTATAATGTATGGTGGACATGATCTTGAAGAATCCATGTTCTATTCAGAATTGGTGAAAAAATCTGAAGCTGTCACTACAAACCAATTTTTGTCATAGTTGTACGTCCACTCACGTAATCAGTAATCTATGGGTTCTTTGTTTGCTTTTACGCAGTCTCATGCGTCATAGAATCTTGTCTTCTCTAATCATTTTCATCTATATTTATATTTTTTTGTTTTAACACAGCCTCTCAATTAATCAAATTGTTATTACCTCTTAATTACTACCAAAAAAAAAAAAAAAAAAGAATAATAATAATAATCAAATTGTTACTATCAACTAACCAAATTGTTGCCAGAGAGTTACAGATGTCAAAACAATTCAATCCGTAAGCTAAATATTTTAAAAATTTTAACACTGTATCTCATACTTTAATTCTCAATACTTTGACAGCGTATTTGATATTTATCATTTTTTTTTTTTTTGTTGATGACTGGGGAACCCTCGCAAATATTCGTTCTTTGGACTTATAGTTACTAGGTAAACCCCCGATTACTCACCCCGATCCTACAGTGTAAATAGCATTTTAAATCAGGAACTTGCAGAGTTGGAGATATTTCTCAAATATTTCTTAACACATTTTTAACAAATTTTGAACATTAAAGTCTAATTTTTTTTTTTTAATAATAATAACATAGTATAATTGTTAATAAAAGTTCAAAATTTATTAAGTGATTATAAATAGGAATGTTTGTTTTGAAACAAAATCATTTGTTATATTAATAATTAAATTTATATTCATAATATATCAAGAAACTGATTAAAAAAAAATGTATTTTTTGTATATAAAAAATATATTTTTTTTCCCATAAATCTATATCAGTTGTCCGAGATTAATCTGATCAATCACTAGTTGACACGTAAGTAAAAAATTGAATAAAGTTAACACATTTGCTTATATGTTAGTGATGATTACGAAAATCTTCTTTGTGACTCGAACCACTAACCTCTCCCTTAAGGGAGAGAGGGTTGTAGTACGGCTAAGCTAATAATATTGTCTCTACTGAAATTACCAAAAAAAAAAAATCCTTCGAGGTTATCCCCATCACATAATTTTCTTTATCTATTTCAATCCTTACATGTCAATACTGTTTAATTAGTGAGTAATATGGTATCATTGATACTCATGACGAATTCAAATTATTTTTGGCTCTCTTGTTGCAAGTAGTATATATTGCTTATGGATTGGAGAGAGGAGCTCTAGAGTGCGGTCACGCAAAGCTGCCACTAATCCTATCCTGGTGCAGAAAATTTGGCTGGCCATTAGAGCTAAGCTTCAATTCAAGGAAGATATGGAATCCAGATTCCTATTGCAAATTAAAGTGGAGAGTCCATGAGCAGCTTGTCTTTTCTGCTTCAATGTATTTCTTTTGCTTGTATTGCTTGATGGTGTTGTTCCTGTCTGGTTGTAGCTAGCACTATTTGTTGCTGCCTTGATCCATTGTGGGGTTCTTTGTACAGCTTTTTATCCAAAAATTAAAAATTAAATATCTGGCCTATAACGATCATATATATATATATATATATATATCATCCCATGCCATTCCAAATCATATTTAAGTGTCTCCAAAGATGCAGTAATGGAATATCACATATATCCCTAAATTAAGTCAGTTTTTTGTCAGAGATATTCCTGAATGACCGAGTAGTGTGACATACATACCTTTAATTCACCTAACCATTTATTAAAACACAAAAATTAAACCTAACTTCCACTTCTTTTAACCCTTTGCTCTTGTTTTTGAATTGATCAAGAAAACACACGTTTTATTCATCATTTTTAAATTATAAATTAATTAGTATAAAATAATGGGTATAATGACAATTAATGTTTGTGCTTAATTACAATTACAAAACGTCGGTGCATCCAACTACATGGTTTGGTTTAAATTCAAAATCCTATTCATTTATTTATTTTCTTCCATTTATCCTGCCAGATGTTATTTTCTCATGTGGTGAGCACATCCCAATTTAATTTCAAAAGGAACATCATCAAATGATTTGACCATTGGTTAGGAAAAACAAAAAATTGACCATTGGTCAATCTAAATGGTTTAATCAAAAGATTCACAATAAATTAATCAACATAACAATGATTACCATAATCTATAGTCCATTTATTAAATATTCAATTCGTTAATTTATTTTCTAAAATATTACCGGTGGACACGTTCAATTTTCAAGACAACCCTTATCTCATAATTAAGGAATATTCATGATTCAATCATAAAATATTATCAATAGTGTATATATATATTGACACTAGGCTCATGCAGATTAAATTTAGTCATAGACAACATTTCCATACATCTGAAAGGTTTAGTAAAGAAAGGAGAAAACTAACCAATCACAACAACTATTCACGGGGCTCTGAAAAGTATATTCTTTGCAAGACAAAACTGTTATTTGCAGCTTAATATTATATTGATCCTTTGGCATTCCGTTTTTGTCATCAAACCATGTAGGAACTAATTCCTCATGCACCTAGCTTCAAAAATATTTGCACATGCAAAAAGATTGCCATGTGTATATAAAAATTACCATTTACTATTGGTAGATGACCAGCTATCCTAACCACTCGATTAATTTACCATAACCATGTGATTGTAGACCTTTTCTCTCATTCATGCCTTCTTTTTACTTTTCATTCTTTTATTTGTGTCCAAAAGCAGGTGTAAGCGCACTATGGTATTATTAAACCTTTATATATATATATATATATATGTAGCAGCCTTTGTAGTATTACTTTTAGGCCTCTCATTGTTCAATCATCAAATTTAGAGATCCCATTTCTCACTCATATATATATACATATATAAGTGGTAGTTGAGTTCCACACATGAACCAAGAAAGGTAGATGATCGATACAAAGGGACCCTAGCTCCTAGTAAGAAACAAAGCTCTCCGAGCCTCAGGACATCGATCATCTCTCTCTCTCCTCTCTCTATCTCTCTCTCTCGGAGAAAGAGAATTCAATGGCTACTATGACAGATAAGAGCAATAGGGAAGAAATCAAGCCAAAGGGTTTGCTACCAAATAATCAATCCATTAAGAAGGAACTCAACAGAGGTTCATGGACTGCAGAAGAAGACAGAAAATTGGCTGAGGTTATTGAAGTCCATGGTGCAAAGAGGTGGAAGTCAATTGCAGTGAAAGCAGGTACTGTTTGTTCACGTGTCAAGCACAACACACATCTATCACACCATATATAACACAAAACACACACACACACACACTTACACAAACAGCTCAATTATACTTATATATAGTGTCAACTTGATGTGGGTTTTTGAAATTTGCAGGATTAAATCGTTGCGGTAAGAGTTGCAGGCTGAGATGGCTGAATTATCTAAGACCTAATATCAAGAGAGGCAATATATCAGATCAAGAAGAGGACTTGATCCTTAGGCTTCATAAACTCCTAGGAAATAGGTAATTAATAATATGAGTAACTTTCATGACTAGTCCAATTAATTATGTATTAATTTAATTTCTGGTCTAATTATTCACTTTTCTTAGCTTAATTGGTTTGATGTTTTCTTTAGGTGGTCATTGATAGCTGGAAGGCTGCCAGGTCGAACCGATAACGAGATCAAGAACTACTGGAATTCTCATTTGAGCAAGAAAATAAACCAAAGAGATAAACAAAGTGGAAGCCCAACAGAAGAAGGGCCCTCCAAGTCTAAGAAAAGGAAGGCTGTAGAAAAGGTCAGTGAGGAGGTGAAGGAAGAGGCCACCTCTAATGGTGGTGAGGACTCAAATATGACCAGCTTTGATGTAGATGAGTTCTTTGATTTCACCAATGAGAGCCCTTTGACTTTGGAGTGGGTAAGCAAATTCCTTGAACTGGATAAGGGTTTATGTGAATTTTCATAAAATTGTACACTTTGTTATCTCCATGAGCTTAATATTAGTATTGATGGGTCATGATCGAGCTCTTTGGTGTTCTAAATTTGTAAACCACTACTGTTTGATTACACCAAACCATGTCATTATTGAACTTCATCTTCTTCTCTTCCTCATTCTTTGTACTTCATGATTACCAAACAGAGGCAGCTGAACAGATGATCGATAAAAAGTAATGTATATATATATATATATACACAATGTAGTGTAGTTTAGTTTTTGGACTGTAGTTAACAATTGAAGTAGAGATTCTTTTTTGATATATATTTGTGAAAGGTGTTTACTTGAAATACCAAAGGGGAACACATAAAAGTAAAAAGGACTTGAGTTACATTATTGTGGACAGATCGGTTTGGAGCACAATAAGATGATGGGACAAAAGGCTACAGTGAATGATCAATATTATCATTTACAGAAAGATTTTTCTGTGAAATGTGTTCAAATTCTTCTGAAAATCACTCATCCAAAAGACAAACTAAATCAGCTCTAATAAAGCAAACGAATTACTCATTAAAAAAAAAAAAAAAAAGATTTTTTCCATATAACGAAAGTAAGACTGCGTATTTCCGACTCATATAAGTCACAGTTTATTCATCCAAACTCATTGATGTTTAAAAACTATATGCAGTAGGGATATTTTTTTCACTCAATACACCCAAACACATACATTCACGCACATATATAATAAAGTACACATGTTTCGCATAGACTAGCTGTCCGGGGCCTGCAAAAGAATTGATTCCTTGCTCCTACCATTCTTCATGTTTTTAGCTAGCTGGCTGATCAGCTAGGGTTTCAGCAGATGGGATTCCTTTCCTAAAGGGAGTCATTGCTTGTATGTTGTCTTTAACAGTTTAAAACTTTAAAAGTTGATTGTCAGTAAAATAAAATTTCATATATAGTAGGTTATCTGATGAATTAAAAGCTTCAGTGTACTGGTTTAGAGAGTACTACAGTTGTTAAAATTGTATTTTTCAACCATTGAATGAAGGCAGACAAATATTATTCTTGATGCTATAAGATGATATTCAGCAGAGATAGAACAAAAAATGAACTCACGTACCATAAACACTTAATTATCTGAACCTGCCAACTAGTTCAGGATTTAATAAAGACTACTGATTGTTCAAATTGTTCAGCTTGGCAAGAAACAGTACTAGTAGTAGTGTAGTACACAATGAGGATAATATAGTACCGTTTAACTTCTTGAATTCATTCATAAATTTGAGCAAAGTACTTCAATGTATACCAGTCTACTCTGTTGTGCATTCATGGCAAGTATGAATGCAAAATCAGAATCGAAAGCTACTACTGTAAAGGGTCATAGCCAGCTTGGCTTCAATGGACTCTCAGAAGGAGATATGGTCCAACCCTAGAAATTCAAGCATATTATAACTATGTCCAACAACAATTCGATAATCAATAATATCAAACGAGTGAGTGTTCAGTTTTAAATGCATGCACACATTATACACACGCAGATAGTAGAGCTGGTGTATGTCTAGATCTAAGTCATAGAATCCTTCTTGAGTGTCACTTTGACGCTTCGAGCGCGCTCCGGCTCTCACACTTTGCGTGCTCTTCCTGCGGTTCCCACTATTTATACTTAATTTTGCGGCTTTTGCGCTCGTGTTTTCAAATTCGCTCCTGTTCCCGCTTTATGTGATTTAGGTCTAGATTAAAACGGTGAAGACATTGAAAAAGAAATATTGCAATAATGGCACTAGTGTATAAGATCAGGGGATCGACTCATAAATTTTTGCTTGCACAAGACAAGTTAGTAGTAAAAAAAATAAAATTTAATTTAAAATAAATTAGAATACTTCTCTTTGTAGTAGAATTTTAGGAAAGTAAAAATGCAAGAAGATAATTAAAAAATTAAATGTATTTGGTAAATCACCAAGTGCATAAAATGAGGAGACTAATAGTGAGTGATATGGGTTATATTTGGAATTTTTTAGCCTTCCTTCAAATTAACCATGGACTTCTAAAAACATGTGTTATATATGTGTGTCTCAAGATTGTATTATTATCTTGCTGTTGATTAGAAATTGAAAAACATCTCAATTGCAAGGTCTTCGCACACATGCAATAAAGTGTTTCGTGCAGACATAGGCATCAATAGCTACATTGAATGGCATAACGTGATCATTACTTCAGATTAGACTATCAAATTAATTAGTATTAATGATTACTATTAGGTTCACCAGATCTTAATCATGGTGGTACGTACGTACATTTAGTTTGTGTTATCCTTCAACACCTTTTTCCAGATGGACAGCATTATTTGGAAGAATATATATATATAATTAAAGTTTAGGATGGATGACAGGCACTACACTATAGCCTCATTATTCCAACACAGACATTCTAAGAGACAATGGGTAAGAAATAAGAACTTTGTTCACATTCATACAGTATTACAGCGTGAACATAGAAGCTAAGTAATAGCAAGTAAAAGCCCAGTCACCTGAACCATGTGAAATAGTATAAGTTTTGTTTGTATTGAATGAGAGGTAGGTTTTGTTCATGATGCATTTACTTGAACCACTGCATCCATTTAGTTTTGTGTGTGTGTCTGTGTGTGCGCGCGCGGGGTAGGATGTGGGGATGGAAATGCACTCATGTAGCCAGCTTGTCCCACTGCTGCAAGCAAATAATGCTTACTTTCATGGGATTGAAGTTGAGTTTGAGATATAATATGCAACCCTCAAATTTTAAAAGGAAACCCATCAAAGTTATAATGGATGTCAATATCAATTAAAATTTAATTTAGATTGGGTGGTCTCAAATAATCCACACCCAATATGTAGCTCAACTTGAATTTAATTCAATTTTAACCCGAATTTGTGTATATATATATATATATGCATTACATATCTGAACAATTATTTATATAAGACAACATCGAGAAAAAGTATTTTGATTTTTGGCTCATGATATGACGAAATTACAAGCCACTGGCAAAGTTAGGGATGCAGGACACTCACTTTAATTATTAGAGTACGATTTTGAAAAATAAAATAATAAAAATAATAATAACTTTATTAGAGTTATAGAGCACACAGTTATCTTGTATGTATACACACACTGTCATTGTCCTCTTTCAATGCCTCAAGTTGGCAATTGCACAATTCCTGGGTAGGCTTTGCCGTTCCTTTGGAGGCATTGGCTCATTAGAGACCAACCCCTAATCTATGAAAAGGTATTTTTTTTTTTTTTTTTTTAAACATATGAACTTTTATCTTCCTTCGTGGATAAATAGGAAAAAGAGAAGAAAATGATTAATTTGTAATTTTTGAAAGTGTTTGAGCCCAATAGAATTGGTGGTTCATAGTCCCCAAGTAATTCATGATCCTCTGAAATAAGTAGAACGAGAAATTATTAGATGATTTCAGACGATGTAATCCTTCTCAGCGCACACTAATTAAATAAGTGGGTTGCTTTACTTTTACATAATACACCGCTAATTTTCAATGTAGTGTGCATATCTGTTATTATCAAATTCTATATTTTATTTGATTTTGACCTTACATCCACCTCTATTAGCACTTCACCTAAAATACTACTGCAACAACATGGGCTTGTAAAAGTGATGGCGGTCGGAGTCTGGTTTCCCGCCAAATGGTTGGGCTTTCCTGGTTTATTCTCAGCTGGGTCGCCCATTCCAAGTAAGGAGTTGGTCCACGGTCCTGGCCTAAAACCTAGGTTTCGTGGGCGGAAGGGCCCCGTAGATCGGCGGTCAAAATGCTGACGGAAGAATAACACAAGTAGGTTCCACCAACGTCCACTCTCAACCCCAACAACCATATTTTTTTATATTTATGAAAATAAAAAATATAAACTTCTTATAGTTGTGCTGTCATATCAACTAGTTAAAATTGATCAACCAATAACGATCATGTGAAATATGTTATGAGTATCCATTAAAAATACAAAAACGAGATCGAATAAAAATCAAATAAAATAAAAAAAAAAAAGAAAGATTTTGATTGCATACTAGGAATAATATTAAAAAGGACAGGTTATTTTTTTGTCAGCGAAACTGCATGCACGACAACCCCAAGAGAAATAGGTATAATTGTCCACACATAGGTCTCCCATATGGCCATAGAAAAATTAACCGATTCTCGTTCTCTTTTTTCGATATCTCAAAATGCTTTTACACAACAACTTCAATTTTAAAACAGTAGCATGAAACATTATACAGTAAAAGTCCATATATTCAAAGTAAAAGTCCATATTTTCAAAAAAAATTCACGTGGTTGTATTTTTGTGAAATGTGCCAACTATGATTCAGTCATAAGGCCAAAAAGTTCCCACACACACACATATATTATATATATATATGATTTTTTCAAAATTATTTATATACACAAGGATAATATACAAGAGGATCATACAACTCAACTCAAATTAATTTGACCCAACCACCTCTACATGAATCTTATTCTCACTAGACTTCATAAAACACTACACAGTACAGAGTACACTTGACACAACAAAATTAAATTTCAATGACCATCTAAAGCTACCTAAAAACTCTCTCTCTCTCTCTCTTCTATTAATCTCGAAACCAGTCTATCTCAGGATTTGAAAGACAGGACATCCACTGATGATTTGAGTCATGTAACTTCTCTTCAGAGAACAAAAGTGTTTGATCAGAATTCAAGGAGGAGCAGCTTGTTTCAATTGTACTATTAATGTTACTATCACCTTGTCCTATCCCATTATGAACAAAGTCACACAGTGTTCCAAAATCCGTGTTTAGAAAATCGGATAGCAACTTCTCATCCATTTCAAGATCCATCATGAAATCAGATTGGTTTTCTTGATGGCTGGAAATGAACGACTCCGGTCCCAGCCCTAACATGGAGGGTGCAACCACCGGCTTAGTATCAAGTTCTTGATTCGTTTCCAATTCGACGTTGATGGATCCTTTGGTGCACCTTGATTCGATTGCAGGTGATCCTGAAGCAGGTAGGTCAGAAACTGGCTGTCCAGTGTTTGGGGAACTTGGGTTTTGTTTGGATTGATGCTTATTTGTGTGACCAGCTTTCGATTTCTTCTTGCCAATGTTGGTGTTCCAATAGTTCTTGATTTCATTGTCTGTTCGCCCGGGAAGTCTCCCAGCTATTAGGGACCACCTACAAACACACACACACACACACACACTATTCAATCAATAAAAAATCGACAACATGACATCAGGCTGTCATATTCGTCATCAACCAAATATTCCACCGTTCAATGTAGACTTGATTGATACCACTTTTCATACAATGTGTCACAACTGTTACTTTCATTACTTATCACGACATTCACTAAAAAGTTACTAATTGACTTGCAAAATCAACATATATATATATATATATATATATATATATATATATAATTGTAAGAAAAACTCTTCTCCAACCAAAATGTCTTGAGCCTAGGTCCCACATGAGATCGATTTGATCTTATTGGACTCAAGTCGAATTTGGCCCGAAAATCATTGTTCTTACAAAACATCATTATAGTGATGCATATTTGGGATTTAACGCGTCATAATGATTAAATAATATTAATAGATATATATATAGATTTTGGTGTCGGACGGATTTTTGTAAGGGAATTGAAGAAGTAAACAATTCACCTGTTTCCTAGGAGCTTGTGAAGTCTGATTATGAGGTCCTCTTCATCATGGGTAATGTTTCCTCTCTTAATATCTGGTCTTAGATAGTTTAACCAACGAAGTCTGCAACTCTTCCCACATCTCTTAAGACCTGCATCACCCATAAATAAAACACAAGTTCTTTAATGGAATTCAACAGAGCATCTATATATATATATATATATATATATTCATACACTATATATAGTACATTTATTCCAAATTTTACACTCATATATATCTATCTCTTTCTATTCTTTTCGCAAATTAATTCCACTATATATCTTGTTATTGCATAATTTGCGTATATAGTGTGTGTGTGTGTGTGTGTATAGCTGACCTGCTCTCTTGGAAAGGTTTCTCCATTTGCCTTCACCATGGATTTTGATGTAGTCTTCGAGAATTTTGTCTTCATCAGCAGTCCATGCCCCTCTGTTGAAGCCAGCTTCCTTTGCACAAGAAGGGCTTCTACCCATCTCTGTGTGTGTATTGTGTGATTATTCAGTGATATATATATATATATTACTGATTTGAATTGTGTGTGTTGCGCCTACACACACACAACCACACGCATAAATGTATGGTAGCTTAGGAGGGTATGGCTCTATAAGGTTCCCCACTTATTCCATCAACGTTTTATAAATCAAAAACCAGGGGGGAAAAAAATCCGAAAGTGGTCTTCATCTGCATGTGCACTCAAGCACTAGGGGACCATACCATGCCTTTGTCTTGGAGTTTATAGTAAGAATTAATTAAATAATATATATATATACATATATTAGAGTTTATAGTACGAATTAATTAAATAATATATATATATTATAATGAGTGATTTAATTTGATGAAATGATTATGATAGCTGAATGGAGCATCTGCTCTTCTAATGTACGTGGCTGCTCACTCCTGAGCTAACTTTCTCACGAGCTCTTTGAAAGTTTGTTGAAATTTAATGGAAGACCATAAAGGAGAAAATTAAATAATTTTTAAACAGATCGACCTATAGAGATGTTCAACGGGTACACGAACGTATGCAATGGTGCTGGACTGAAGTTACAATAATACCCTAAGTTTACATAAAATAGGATGGTCCTAATGCAACTAAGCTACCACTCCTAACGAATTTAGGAAGGGCATCGGAATAGAGAGTAGTGGGGGGGTGGGGGGGGCAAGTCTCCCTCTAAATTTATGTTGGTACAGTGGAAACGTACGAATACAAAAATCCAATAAAAGCCAATAAAATATTCACTTTACAATACATAACGTCATGCTCAAGACAAATACCATTCTAAAATTGAAACGTAACTAAATTATGAATTAATAATTTGTTTTGCCTTTAACATATATGCTTTTGTTTTTTCATGCTTTGATTGATTATATGCATAGATCAAATTGCTTGAGAAACCTCTAAATTTCAGCAGTTAAGCCCTCAAAATACCAAAATGTTTCATATTAACCTTTCTAAGAAAGTGCTACATAATAATCCGATGACATTTAACACCAGGTACCCTCAACCAATTCACAATCATATTTTTTTTCTTAAAAGCTCTTTATTTTTTGTGTATAAAGAAAATTGAGAGTTTCCGGGAATATCATTAAAAGCTGTCTATATATATATATATTCTAAATCTAATGTGTCATAATAAATTTATACAAAAATTTTGAACTAATTATTTTTCAGCTCCGACAATTATTTTATACTTTTTGTATAAAAATATATCTGTTAATAACAACCAACCAAGTGTAATGCCCAAGATTCCACGTAACTTTTACAAATCTTTAATATTACAATAATACCCTAAGTTTAAATAAAACCATTTAATATTACACCATAGATGGAAAAATAGGATAGTCCTAAAGCTACTAACCTACTACTACTACCGAATTTAGGAAAGACATTGGGCTATAGAGTTGTGGGGTAAGTGCTCTAAATTAATATTGGAATACCGGAAACGTAGAAATGCAAAGATCTAATGAAAGCCAATAAAATAATCACTCCATAAGATATTGAAGCTCAGGACTTGTCTAATAAAAAATTCCTAATAAAATATCACTTTAAAAATGAAACCTAATTAAATTATGAATTTCAGTCAAAATTTCCAAGAATTTATTAACATATATGCTTTTGGTTTTTCGTGCTTTGATTGATTATATAAATACATCAAATTGCATGAAAAGCCTCTAAACTATCAACTTTTTGCTACATTCATTCATGAAAAATAAATTTCAGCAACGAAGCCCTCAAAATACCAAAATGTTTCATGTTGACCCTTCTGAGAAAGTATATAATATCACGAGGATATTTCCACGTGGTATCCCCAACCAATGTTCGATCACATTTTTTTCTTAAAGACTCGTATGATATATATTTTCTTGTGATGATCTTGTGGACGAGTGTGCCGTAGGCGGGTGCGAGTCACTGGCAAGTTACCACACTGACGAGATACAGGTGCACAATCTCACATCGTCTGGGTAAGGAAAAAGTGAAGTACTTATATGTAGGTGTGTCACTCCAATTGATAGGAGACCTTTTAAGGTAAAGTTCAAGAGCAAAATTGTGCTGGTTCAAGTCCAAAGCGGAACCATATAACCATCTTTTTAGCTGGTAAACTAGGTAAAATTACCACTACTCAAAATTTCCAATTATTCGGTCCAATTATAATGATTGCATTTATTAACTTCTTAATCTTTTTGCTTAATGAATACTGTAAATAATTTCAAAAAAATTGAGTTGAGTTCCCCAATAAAATTTCCAACTTTGCACCCAAAAATAACTTAATTCAAATTTGGGGAAGTTAATTAATTATTTTTGAAAAAAAGAGTGAAGAATTAAAGAACTAAGCTGAACCATACTCGCAGATTTCATCATCAATTATTTGGAATTTTGGTAAGAGGATTCATGGCCACAATCGAGAATATAGATATATGGTATGTGGCTCATCAACTATATATATATATATATATATATATTAAAATTAATTTCATTAAATTAAACTTTTGAGTTTAGTTTTTATAAAAAGAAATATTTGGCAAGTCAACATCATTGATTTCGGTCGGATGTCTACTGCTGTACGGCAGATAAATCAGACTCCTCTTGTTTATAAAAATTACTAAGAGGCGACATTGGAATACTTTTAAAATTATATTACATAAAATGATTGGTCTAAGACAGACTTGACTGAATATCATTTCTCACTCTCCACACTTTTATAACATTAACTATGACTTTTTGATGCTGCAATTAATAATTTTTCTATAGAAATAAGCAATGTGCTGCCTATAGTTTATTTGCAATTTTTCTTAATTAATGTTTTTTATATTACTTTGAAATATTGGTTTACTAGTTTGACTAGGGGCGGATTCCACAACAAAATTTATGTTCAATTTAACATAAATTTTTATATTAAATTGAACATAAATATTTATGTGATTTGACATAAAATCTATATTCATATAGAAGATTTAATGAAAGGTTTCACTATACGATTAAAAATAAAAAATGATATTACAAATTTCAGCCCCAAACTCTCTCTTTTTCTTAATTTTTTCCCTGCGGCTATTAATCTTCTCTCATAACAAACTACAAGCCATAAATAACCTACGCACAAGAGAGTTTTAGAACCGAATCCATGACCCGAAAGAGAAAAATGAGTCAAAATCAAGTCACAACATGACTTAGGCTAAAACAAAATTCGAACACAACTTCACAAGAAGAAATAAACAGAAGTTGTACCCGAATTTGAATTAGGTTAAAACCCCAAATAAATGCGGCATTGGCATGAAATGAATGATAATTAATTTACATACAAATATAGATTGAAATCCATTATTAATAATTTAACATGTTGGCTGCCGTTGACCAGTGGTTGGTTAGTTGTTGAATGGCCGTACAACAAGGGTATTTTCATCACTAAAAAATTTTATATGTCACATGCGCTTCATGCAGATATTATAATGGCTACAACATAACGTTATTCGGTTCAAGTGATCAATGTGATATATTTTATTAGTGTGATGGCTTAAATGTGGAATGGCAAATTTTTCATCTCTGTCGGGTCCCGCTGTGTTCCGTTCTGTCCCGTTTATAATGGGGATGGGGACTCTTTTATGTAAACGGAAATAGGAATTGAGGTAAATTTTGAGAATCCGCCGGGGGCAGGGTAGGGATGGGGTAAACCCGCCCCGCCCCGATTAAGTATTAAATTACTAATATACCCTTACATTTAATAATTTATTACTAAATTAGATTTATTATATATATGAAAATAAGAAAAAAATACTTTTTAAAAAAAAAAATAATATATATGTAATACCCCGTAATTTTAAAGAGTGTATTTAAATTAATTTTGTGTTAGGTTAATTCTTTAATGTGTAGATTTATTCACCTTGTAATTATATATGTTAGATTAGATAATTAATTTTATTTATTTGTGCATATAATATTGATTTTATGTTCTATATAGTATAATGATTAGTTTTGAAATTATTGGTTATGTTTTAGATTAATTATTATTATTTAATTAAAGTATTTAATTTGTATTGAATAATAATAATAATAATAATAATAATATAATAATAATATTTATAATAATAATAATTGTAATAGTTTAATAATAATAATAATAATAATAATAATAGTATTAAATCAATGTAATGATGAAGAAATTAAATCTTAGGATAGGATTTCATTCCCATAGTTGAACCTTAGGACATCTTGCTTGACTTGGCTTGCTTGCCTTAAAGCCATATGGTTGGAAATGTGGTTAATTAAATGCAAAAATAGATATTTGTAATATTTATATTATATAAATTAGCTAGCCTACCTTAGAAGGAAAGAAAGGGAGTTAGAAACAAATTATAAATTCTAGTGAGCCATTGTAAAAGTGTGGAAAGGAAGAGAGAGAAAGAAAGGAGCTTGGACCGGTGTAGGAAAAATTTACCCGACTACACACAACCGGCGGATTTATTTTAAATCCAAAAAGGCAAGTTCTTATCTATTTTTCCCCTTTGAATCCATAAATTAATTGTTTAAATTATTTAAATTATTATGGAGCCTTGAGAGCATGTTAGGAGTTAATAAATTATTATTTTTAGTTTATTTAATTAATAAAATTTTAATTATTTAGGATGGTAGATATTTAATTATTATCCTATACAATTAAATCTAGCTAAAAATAATTATTTAAGGCTTCAGGGAATTTTCTAGAATTTTTCGATAATTTTATGCATTTTCCGGCGAGACTCCGGCGAGATTTCCGGTCGCCGGCAGCGGGGAAGAAGACTGGAGCAATCCGATGTGTTGCGGCGCAAGGTAACCTGTGTGCGCATGGATCCATGACCGGTTGATGGGAAATTGATTAAAAGATGGATTCGGTGTAGCGCGGGACACCATATGATGGTGCGCGCTAATCATCAGCCGTAGGATGAAAGGAGCATAGGTGGATTGATCCGGTGTGGCGCGCATGTAGGAAAGATGATGCAGCCAACCAATCGGAGGACGCCGCGTCAGCAAGAAGCCATCAACGCGCGCGTGGGAGCGCGTGCGCGCACGTGGCTGATGCCAGACGCACGTGGAGGCGCGTGTGCGCGCGTGAGAGGGTGGAAAACATAGGGCTGCGCGTGGGGAAGCTTAGGGCGGCGCGTGGGGGCGCGTGAAGGGCCCTGTCAGCTGCTGAAAATTACCA